TGATTTTTGTCCGGCAATCTCCTCCTACATATTCATAGCATGTCAGCTAATCACTCTTAGAAAATATATGTATGGCTTTCGACGGGCGTATATTGTTCCGCCCCGCGGTACTCTTGTTAAAATATGTTGTAAATCAAACATGTTTCTCATTCTTTCAGAGTAATAAAAGTGCATTTTATGTTTGATTTCGATTCCGTAGCGCTCTGTTTTATCAATAATTACGGACGTAGAACTCTCATTTTATTCGTTGTAATAGTTGTAAATATCTTTTTTTTTGTATCAATTAAAAACTGTTAAAATACTCAAATGCTGGATATAAGTTTGCAATACAAAGCAAGATATTTCCCTTACTAATTCAGTAAATCGAAATTATATAAAAATGAAATAGAAGGAACAATAAAAGATGTTAAAACTTCTAATACATTTTTGAAATATTATTCAAAATTATTTTTTATCCAGCATACAGTCAGGAGCTGATCAGCAGCTTATCATCTATGCTTGTAACATATACATATAACATTAGATATCCTGACAAACTTGTAGTACGAAAAGTTGGATTGGCGTTGGAGGCAAAGCTGGTGTTTCCTGTTATCAAAAACATAATTGGCAACTAATGATGAAAAAATAGACATTGTATAATGTATATTGAATTAAAAAATAATGAGAAAAGTGAATGTCTTAGGGTTATGGAAGAGCGTTGCATGTTTTAAAATAGTCCATCAGGCAAAAATAAACTGGAAATCTCATTCATGACAAATGATAATAACTATAATATTAATTAAGTAACAGGAAAGAGTTTGCCGGGTCCGACGACTGACTCTGGTAATTATAAACCTCTCCTTTAATAATGTACGTTGTAGAAGCCGAATCAATGAGAAGACATCAGTTAATGAACAACAATGTCTTTGCTTATTTCGTAGATATTTTATGAAAAAAAAAGGTTTGTTAAAGCTTTACTATATACGTGTACATTTATTCCTTAAGAAATGTATCAATGATGCAAACTGCATGTTGTGGTTTGATTTACCTTTGTCTTTAATCTCGAAATATGTTTTACAATTATGCTAAAACTGAAAATTTTCTTCGCTGCGTCATTTAATTTGCGGTTGAACCTTCAGCAACAATAATACTGTTGCGGAAACTTTCTGGTTTGCGATATATTGTACGTTTAAAGTAAATATTTATGCCTTCTCGTTTGTTTCAGTGACTGCCTTCCGCAATGGTGGCTATAAAATAGAGAAAAATGGAAAAGATTTCCATCCAAACGACAATGGTGTCTCTAAACCGGATACAAGTCAAAGCGAGTTCAAACAAAACGGTGATTTAAAATATGATATCGGTGAAAAGGGCACCTATCAAAAAAAAAAAAGTAAAACATCTTAAAACTTGCAAATGAATACAACTTCGGACTCTGGATCACATGCAAGTGGTTCTCAACGAGATTCTTTGTCCGACAAAAGTGACCGTTTCAAATACATGCAGTGGACAGACAATGGACGAACGTCAGTGTCTTCCAGAGCGGCCCCGTTCGGTGGAATCCGGAAACCTCCGTCAAACTCCGACGGATACAACCCGGCACGGTTGTAAGATGCTGAAGTTAGAAGGAGTAAAATATACGGAATCTTTACTGATTTTAAACTATTGATAAAAAATAGGACGGTAACCTGCATCATGCCCTTTTGCGTGAAAGTTAGTTTTCGTTCCTCGATAATTATCGTTCCTTCGCGCGCTCCTGGTAACGCGAAATAATAGTTGGATGAAATGTCATATATAAGCACGGAATTAGATTGCTATCTAAGTCCGGATATAAGCAACCTTAATTAGGACAGAAGGCTCAGACTATGAATTAGCCAAGATTTCCAAGATTTTGTTTTCACTCAGACATACATAATTGTGTGTAACAAGAGGTCATGAATAATAGTATTTATAACATAGTTAGAGTGCATAACAGTTATACGGGTAGCTACATGCACAGGGACCTGAGAATTTGTGACAGCTAAAATATTTGGACCTAAACTAAGGTGTTCAGAGTAATTTCATAAGTTTTAGGGGTTTCGATCGATTTTTGGTAAAAATGACGCATACATATATGAGCATTGGGGGATGTCATTTGTACCGAAAGTCGACCGAAACCCCTAAAACGTGTAAAATTACTTTGAATTATATTTATTATTTATTATTAGGCGCCATAAATCTTACTTTGAATACCACCCTCCCTGGGCGATTGCTGTTTTATTTATTGAAAAAGCATAAACGATGCATATTTCATAAGGAAAATCTACATTTTAACATTTTCCTATATGAAACCTTTCATTTTACATTTCCCTTTATGAAAGCCTTTATTTCCAATGGTTGACAAAGACACAAAGAAATACTTGTGTTTTTAAGTCAAAACAGGGAATGTGATCAACACAAATCTTTGTAGAATGACTTTTTGTGTTTGATGAGCCTAAGCCTTTCTATACTTTTTCTGGGAATACGCTTGCCTAAAAGCATTTGGTGCATAAAACTATTCCCTATTTACAAAAAAGGCTCAAGTCACTTTGACTCTCTTTGGTCAGTTTCACACTGACCAGCAACCTATTGTTACAAAAATTATGACGAGTGAGCCTATGGACTTAGAGCTGGTTGAACCAATTAGTGTGACGTAACTGTGTCAACAATCAGTGTTGAACGACTAGATTTTTGTAAATAACCCACGCTTACTTATGAGCGTGCGCGAACTAATCAACCAATCAGAACCTCACCTTTGGCGAACAGTCGGTTTGACTTATGACCTGTTGTTCCCCCAGACCCTCACTTCACTTTGGGATGGAATAAAGGTAACATCGAATCTAACGACTGTCTTCTCTAATATTTTACAGCTCGACATGTACAAACCCTAACCAGACAACAAAACAAACAAAAAACTTGCTGAAACATACATAACCTTGACTAAATACTGATAAATGTAAATGTATTTGCCATGTGATGAATAGATTCCAAATATGGTAAGTAAAAGTATTGAACTGCTATAAGTTGGCATTCATAGGCAATATGAATGCCAACTGAAAGCATTTCAATGCTTAAACAACTGGGCGTCGTTTCAGGACCCATGTACCACTGCTGAAACTTGAAAGTATCCATTAGATTTTTTTACGGCATAAATACAATTTTTGATGATTTATTTCTGAAAAGTACACCATACCTTGCCGGAGTACCCGGAGAAAACCCACGTGTTGGGGCAGGTGATCCTACAAGTGTTCACGTCCGATTGAGGAATCGAACCCTGGGCGCCATGGTTGAATGCGATCGCGTCATTCACTGCGCCCTTGATTACCCAAAATCTGCTTTCTCTTGGTTCTAGAGTCTGATAGCTTTTATAGGTTGTGTAAGCTAGCATCAGCATTGTGATGAATGATATTGCGCACTCAGTACTCCAGATCGTGGGCTCCTTAATTCCAACTGATCCCACCCAAGGGATTGTAGAATGGTGGTGATACTGTCCGGTTCAATTTGGAGATCACGGATGTGAAGGTCCCACTTTGAGGTTGCATATTGTGTTAGGGGGAAAAGCGTGATCTCGGCATTGTTAGGATGGACGTGGAGGTTCCTCCGGAGGTATCTTTAAAATTCCACGAGTTACGCTCTCCTTCCGTTTTCTGGAATATGTCCTGACGAAAGAGAAGGCCATGTACGCGCCACCTTGTGGATGATATAAGTAGGCTGTTTTGATCCTTTGATGTGAATAAAAAAATCGCCCGGCAGCGCAACGGCAACATTTATTAGCTTTTAAGTCGGGTGCCGCTCCTCTGTAATCTTCAAAAGACGGGATGTTTTTTTAATGGAAACCAGTAAAAAAGCTGGCCGTGTGCCTTCAATTTTGCCATGACATATTCCAGAAATGCAGAAACGTACGTAAGCGCACGAGTGATGCGTTGTTGGTCTGTCTCTTAAAAATTAAACGAAAGAGTTTTCATGTCTGCGATTATGTATCTATTTATAACGTATATATTTTTTATGTATATTTGCCATCGTATAACATTGCCACTATCGCATTCAGATGGCATTCATGTAAGCTATGAATGCCATCGGCTGATTGTTGACGTCATCATTATCATGATGTCATAATTCCAATTATTCTACCTTGACAGATGGCTGTTCTATTCTTTGATAAACAATTTTGAGAAATGGTTAATTACAAGCATTGAAGTCCAGTTGGAAGTCAATAAAAACATGTGCTGATCGTTCGAAGGGAGCTAACTCATACTGTCGGTCGATAGCTTCATTTGCAGTTACCGTCTTTTGACAGCTACAGGGCATATTAGTGTTATCAAAGCTTTCACGCATAAGATAACGATTGTTAGGTTGTTTTTTGAAGTAAAATGACACATAAGAATAGATATGAAGCGTGCACTAGCTGAACCTTTCTTCTTGTTGAGATGTACGTAGGTTACGTTCATATTTCGTTTGCATCTACATGTATATGGTCTTAATCATTATTTGAGATTTGTAGAAACTAAATAGTAAACCAAATGAAAAGCAACTCAGCATGTCCTCTCCATCGTGAAAGTAAATGACGCAATGAATCCCAAAACGTTCAAAATTATAACGCAAATCACAATGGAATTATACGTTTTGAAGAAAAATTTGCATGACGGTAGACACACGAAAATTATAAGGGAATGCCCGAATGGTCTTTTGCTTCTGTCATTTTCAACAAAATATAGCTCCTTGGCGAACCATCAATATCTTGCTGTTCAAGCTCAGCAATATGGACTCCGTCTGAGAATCGTTCCGGGCCTTGTTTTTCATGTTCATTTTCATCATTTCCCATTGTAATAGAAACTATTAGAAGGTAAATATAAACCCAATCACTCAGATTGCTTTCGAATGAAAATAAAACAATATATGAAGGACACATGATAACTTAATTCAGGCAAATCCCCACTAAATCACCGACGCGATCGCGTGCATTCCTGACTTTAGGCAAGCCCCACTTGAAAACGGGATTCCGCGAGACCGAATGGCAGCTTCCTACAAGACACTACAGCCACACAGATGAGATGCAGACAGGAGTTTGCTGACATTACCAATAACTTAGAACAGTTTTTAAACAATAGTAAGTTTTTATTGCAATGCATGCTTAATTTGACTTTGCTTTGGCTGTTTCAAATGATTGCCGTTTAAGAGATGATAAAGGTCTTTGTCGGCTGCTGATGTGATTTTGCATGCATCACTGACTTTCAGCTCGATAACTTTAAAATACCCGATAAGTTCGCGATAACCTCTGCGCTTCTCTGAGCAATCCTTGTTTCCACAAGATTTTTATCTCATACTGACAAATGCAAAGTGGGGATTAAAATAAACTGATTATAGATTTGTATTATTGTGCAGAGGCGTGACTATATTTTTACAGAAAAAGATTTTATTTTATTTGATTAAACATAAGTTACTTAACTTACGTACTGGTGACGGTTGGTTAAATAAAAATAAAAATTGTGACAATGAATGTTTTTTTACCAACAAGAAAAGGGCCTTTAAGGTTTTTGAAGAGAAACATATATATCTTCTAGAAAAACAAAAATGCTAACTAAAGACCCAGGCCAAGCAAAAAAACACATGTTTGTTTCCTGTTCCATGGATGAAAAGATAGGGTACTATAGGTAGGTAAGTTTTCAAAAATATTTATCAATTTAAAAAAGGAGAGTTAGCTCAACTTTAACATTACTTCCTATAAAATTGCCAAAAAACTGTTTAGGGTAGGCACACAAATTAGGGTAGGCACACAAATTAGGGTAGGTAGGCCTATATATAACTGGAAACAAACAAACAACATTTTTTTTTCCGCCTGAGGTTGTTCAGCTGTTTTCCAAATATAGATGAATAATTTGCAGACTCTTTGGGTCTGTGACATTTTATACATGTATCAGTTTTATGTATATTGACTTGGGAACCCCGAAAGAAACTGTTTGTACTAGTGTCTCACTATTTTCAGTTACCTGATCTGAAGGGACCATGGCTGAAGAACTGATAAGAAATGTCGTGGACATTATGGAGGGTGCCCACACACAGAAAGTACAGTTGTCAGAACTGCTCCACTCATTGGACGAGGCACACGATCAGGTAATGCAGCTTGAGTTATTTGGCACGTTATTATTCTCTATTTCCAGTATAGTCTATAGAACTAGGCCATTATATAGAACAACTTTTTTGTCCCATCTTAAAGAACGTGTTGTGGCTTTTCCCATTCACATTACAGCATTAACAATTTCACCCCTATGTAACTTTAGAAGACCTTGCCATACATTGATATGGATGAGTCCATTATGGTCTACAGTGGTGAAATTAAAGGGTTATATAAATTTTTATGTCACCCTGGCACAAAACGCTAGCCGGCTCAGCTAGGGAGAATTTCTCTTTAGCTCATTTGGTAGAGCGTAGGTCTAGTAAATCAGATGTCCCGGGTTCGACTCCTAGCGGAGGCATTGAAAAATAATGACCTCTGTTACATTTATATATTACATATTATGTATGTATTTAAACTCTAAAAAAAAATAGTATATATATATTTCATAGTCAGGAAATTTTAGTTACATATTTTCCAACATTACGGTTTTTATTTTCAACATGTCCAAACTCTCTTAAAAGGATTGTATCCTATCATTGTCTTTGTAGAAGTTTTGAAGAAATACAGTGTGACATAACTTTCCAAAGATAACACCTCTCCGATAACTGTTACGTGTATATAAAAAAAAAGTTGGATTGTCACTCTCTATCGGAAACTAAACTAATATAATGATAAACAGATATTGAGTATAGTAATATTTGAAATCTTCAGGTCCATCAGAGTGCTGACAAGTCGAAGTCAGATTTAGAGGCACATTTCAAGACCCTGAAGAAAGCCATTGACCAGGCACTGGATGAGCGACTGACCACTCTGAAAAAGGAGGTGGACAAGATAGAGAAGTCAGCATCCGTACCTCTCAGTCAGTGTAAAGATATGATTAACCAGGGGATGGACGCTGCTTCACGAGTGATGGACGAAGGTCAGTTACACAAAAAAATTAAATTGGCCTTTTAAAAATGCAATACACCACCCTCTACCCGGTAATAATAATAATAATCAAGAGTGCATTATGGAAAAAATATTTATTCAAAAATCTTGTTAATTTGATTAAATACTAATTAGCTATAATTGTTCTGGAGGTTTTAAAACTACTTTTTCTTGAGATGTGTTCTTCATCAAGAGACAAAACTTGCGATCACCATATTGTTTTTGACATGTGCTGATTTTTGGTATAGATCTCCCAAATCATCGAAAGTTTTGCTGATGTAAAATTGGATATTTTTGCGTATGGGAGAGTTCACATTATGACTCTTTAAACAGATCACAGTGGGGATGTTTTTGTGTGGGCAATGCAACAGATATCTACAGTATATATCCTATATATCTATATATATACCGGTAATCTTTATAATCTATATACAAATTAGCAAAAAAATGTGAACATTTCCACTTTCATAAAATTTTGAAAATATAAAATATTGGCATTGCTTTTTTTAAGTTATTCAAATAGTGTGAACCTTTTGTAATTACATCTGTACATTAAAACCCCTTCAGAACTGATTCAGTAGACAAGTCATATTTTAAGTTTCCTTTCGCTTTCTGATACAGGTGGTTCCATTTTGTCTGGTGATCCGACACAGAAGATCGAACGAATGGTCCAGTTAAAAGACAATCCTGACACAAGAGCACTTAACAGGTACTGTTTGTATTAAATGTTTTTTTTGTAGATTTGATGAAGGATAGAACTTAGATTGTGATCCTCTGACAGAAGGCGACCTATTAACGGTGAGAGTTTCCAAAAAGAAAAGGATAAGATTTACAGGCATTTTTTGTTTCATTTTATAGAAGTACCTAGTCTTGGCATGACAAAGTGTCTCATGAGGAAATTTGTTCTGGTGTTACACTATACTACAGGGTTGAACAGTTCTGTGTCTCAAAGTTCAATTGTGATACCAAATTTTGTCTGGAGGTCGGGAAACAAAGATTGCTTGCAATACTCAGCCTTATTATTTATTGAAACTGATGAAAACAGAAGCTGTTTCTTGTAGGCTGGGGTAAGGAAACAGGAATTATTCATTTTTAAGTCTTTGTTTGAGAATATCACCATCTGGAAGGCAAATTTTTCAGGAATTTCCTGTATTTTATCAACGACATTCCGCAGAAAGAATTTATGAAAATGATGGAATATATTTACAGTGTACCAGCTGTGCCTCACTTGAGTGACGTTCCCTGTATCAGCGTGGAGTTGGATAAATGTCTCGGGGACAGACTGTCCGAGTTGATCGCACAAGAAGGCAGGGTCCTGGAGCGTAGTCCCATACAGATCACAGACACCATTGAACGTCCCGGGGGCATTCTCGTCAAATGGATAGAGGTCAGAAATACAAAAGTTAATTTTGGTTTTTCTGTTTGAGGAAGTAGACTTTAGCCAGATAGTGGGATCATTTATTGATACATGTACAGTTACATATGTTGAATGTTGAAGAGAAATATTACTGTATCTATTATATATACAAACTGTTTTATCATTATCTGTTTTATTTGCTTTAGTTCTGTTTCTTCATTCGGAGTGGGATGATATGTTATGAAAATATAGAAAGACATTCAGAAGAATTAGTATTTTACCTACTTGAAGGACCCTTTATTAGGCAAAAAATAACATTTATATGTTTTAAGTAACATGATTAAAAAAATATATAGGGAAAGTCGGTCAAGAATTATATTTTATTTTATTATTGTTTTTTTTAGAGGGGGGGGCTAATTTCAAAAAATACAAAAAACCGCTACATTTGTTTTAGGTCTTTTAAATAATAAGAGGGGGTTTAAATTTAAAGTTACAAGTAGAGAGGGGATGTATAAAATTACCTTGCTTGTTCGTCCATAACGTTTGCATACGGTGGACAAGTTATCCCAACACTGGATAGAGCGCGTACAATTGAAATAAAATTGTTAGGGTCGGAGGTAAAAACTAGGGTAGGTCGGGCTACCTGGAAACATACATATATTCGGTGGCGAAATAAAATATTTGGAAGGGGAGGGGGCTGATATATTGGAACTGGGCTTGGTAGATTGTCTACGACCAGGTAGCAGGTAGCTCAATTGTTAGATTGGTAGAGCATCTGTCTTAAGAGTTCAGAGGTCCCAGTCTGGACGTTGCATATTCCTTTCTCCGGTTACACTTCATATACTTATATGGAAAGAACATTTCAATATAAATTAAAACGTAAAAAAAAAAAGTTTGATAAGTGTTGGTTGCTGTGTTTTCAACCATTGTATATTATTTCATCTGATGCAGGTCGATGACGAACTGGAAGTGTCCGAGTTCTGTTTACAGTATTGTTTAGGTAATGCCAAAACCTCGTCCAGTCCAACATTCCACACAGCGTACACGGGCCCGAATACTTGCTACACCGTCAAAAACCTCAACACCAACACCCCTTACTCATTCCGTGTCAGTTGCCGCAGCAGCAACAACAACAGCAGTTGGCCGTGGAGCGTTTCAAGTGTACCGTGTATGGCACAAACGACAATTCCACACTACGGTAAGTAACCATGTGTCAGGTCGCGATCTTTTGTCTCAAATACTGTATACCGGGACATTTTCGACTTTTGCGCCCTCTGTGATGAGGGTGAATTTATTATTACAGCATATATAGGTCAACAACTTAATGTACATAGTAATTAGATTTGAAGGGCAAAAATTTACACCGGGCGAAAATTGATACTATGGGCAAAAGGCGAAAGTTTCACTGGGCAATTATTGCCTGGTATACAGGTTACTCTCAGCAATCATTGCTATTATATAGCATAATAAAACAATCATTCAGGCTTAAGGAAAAAATCGCACGAGCATTGAAATTTCTGTGGTTATATGTACCCATATAAAAAAGTAGAAGATTGTTTTGTCAGTGTTAAGAACTATTCATAAATCATTCCTGAGTTTATTTTAAAAAACGAATCTTGTCTGAAAACAATCCATTTTATTAATGCACTATTTTTTATCAGCTGTATCATTGAATGTCAATTGCGTTGCCTTTGCATTGTTTGCACATCCCCCGAATATTGGTTCTGCATTGTTTTGAACAGTTTGCTTTCAGGGTTCTTTGTTTACGCATATTTAATGAGGCTACCCACTTCTGATTCCTCACATTTAAACCAGTTTTTGTTTGCACACACTCGTCAAGTGTCGGGCTAAGGTACAATTCTAGATAAAAATTATTTCATCTACAGTGGAAATTTATCCTTTAAGTAGTTAAGGAGTTGGCTTATATAAATATTGCTCCCAGCTGGCATGGATGTATTTAAGGTACAGATCACACATTTAACAAGTACCTGGTGTGACTTGTTGTTAGTGTTCCCTTTTGTCTTTTATTCCAGAATGGTCAATAGGTTGTTTTTTCAAAATTCTGGTTCAAAATCATTTTATCTACATTCGAAATCTATCGTTAGATTTGTAAAGGACATGGCTTATATAGATATTTCTACCTGGCATGGATGCGTGTCTTGTTGTAAGTGTTTCTTTTTGTCTTCTGTTCCAGAATGGTCAACAGGTTGTCCTAGCTACGCAGTGTGTTACGACAATAAAATTGCCACGAGGAATGGGACTGGCGACACCATGGTCCTGTATTCCAGTACCAGTTCCTGTGTACCTGGCCACCCCATCACCTTCAAGGTCATCTCCATGGGGGAGACGTCACCGTTCGACAGCGTTGGCCTCAGTCTCGACAACAGCAACACTGACACACTACAACAGGATGACGCCATTCTGGTTACTAAGTCAGGTAACTCACAAAGGGCTTCTGAAATTTGAATAAAAATTAATGTAACACTTTTTCATGCCACAGGGTGTGGGATAGGGAAATTCTATCCAAGGGATTTTCAGATTGAGTAAAACCCCAGGCTTGCTGAGGGTTTTGCTCCCATTTGAAAATCCCAAGTTTGAATTTCCATTTCCTACACCCCTAGTCATTACTAGGCTCAGTTTGCCTGTAATAATGATAATAATATTTTGAGGTTCTTATATACTGCTTTATCTCAACGTAGTTCGTAGGTCTACTCAAAGCGGTTCACAAATTATTATCCGTGGTTCAAGGGCCTTTGCAACCAGCCAATATCTGTCTAAACTCCCTGGGGAGCATACAGCTGATGCTGCCATTTCGGCGCTCATAGCTAGCATTCAACAATTCTAGCACTGCCCAACCACATACTCATTTACAGCTGAGTAGACTGGAACAAGCGGAGTAAAGTATCTTGCTCAAAGATACAGCACAGCTTGAAGATATATACACTGTTTTCCAACCTTTAAATCTTGGTATGCTGAATGGCAGGAATTCATTAAGGCATCAGTATAGCTAAGGTGTTCGTACAAAGGGAGATTTCTTGGTTTAAACTCTTTTTGATAAGCTCACCTTGCTTGAACTGCTGGTGGTGTGCTTATGCTATGGTAATAGCGTCCATCGTCAACATTACCCTTAAAACCTTATAAGTTTGAAACTTTTTAGTCACCCCTGGGGGAACCCCAGTGGGGACCATTCATTTCGGTTTCAGTCCCAGATTTTGACCTCTGTTGTCTTGGGCTGTTAAGTGTGTGCTTCTGTCGGAATATACTAGGCGCTAATTACAAGCTCTTGGATAACTCGGATGTTGATTTCCTTTTCAAATAGGAATAGCATAAAACCTAAAGGCGTTCCAAATTTCACACGGGGAATTACATATAACCTAAATATGTTCCGAGTATGAATCAGGCACCTTTGTTCCTGAAGGGGTAAACTGTTATATTATAAATTGCCATTGGTTGCTTTAGATATTTCATGTCTGACCAACGACTACTGTTAATATTTGTGTATAGTGCACATTTCCTTTTTTAAGGAAAAATGAAGTGTCAAGAAAGGGGTGTACAAGATACTCAAGAACAATCCAAAACCAGTCCTTGGTCGCGACCATTTATCGTAAATATTTCGAGGAAATGTTTTGAAATATGCTCGGAGCAATAAACTGCTAAATTTTGTTGAATATCCCCCTGATTGCATTGCCAATTTAACAATTACGAAAAGTTGCAAGTTTAGGTCATATTATACGATAGAATCGGATAAATAAACTCTAGTAAAGTAGGCCCAACTTTTCAGGACGTTCCATTGTGAATTGATAAATACCATGTATGGGGAAACATAACGAAGAATTGCATTGTATTTAGCACTCTGGGTTTAAAATGCCGTTCTTGGGTAAAATCATGCTGAACTATTCAATCTTGACAGTAGGAATGTGTCAAAATGACGTAGGTAAAATGGCGAAGTTCGCAAGTTTGTGTACCGCAAAGAGTCAAGGTCGCGTGATACTATTAACTGGCAGGAATTTACAAGGTGACGACATCCATGCGAATTGAACCGATAATGATAACAGTTTGAGTTGGAAAAATAAATATTAACGCGCTCAAAACAGCAAAATACATTCTGATCTTTTCTTTTCAAAGGAGAATTGCTGAACTTACGATTGTTTGGTGTTCTTCATGTCTCGCAAATTCGACTGTTGGCCGTCCTCGTCGGACCTGTTGAGTGACTGCCTTTAAGCATACACACTCTGCAGATATCGAAGACCGATTCAGTCGGATTTGCAGACGATCAGAAAACTACTTGGAAAAGTGTATTTCATAACAACTAAAAAAGTGAAAGATTTATCCGTATATAAGATTGAATCTTTTCTGAAACTTATTGTTGTGAAAACAACATCTTTATATTCCAATTACCTGTTTTGCCCATGCCAGGTGACCTAGTCAGCGCGCAGATCTCCCCGTATTCGAGGTGTCGGTCAACGCTAACATTATATTTGTGACATGCTTTCCTATTAATTCCATGTGTTGGCATGGCTATCTGAACAGCGTGTATGTCTTTACACCTGGTCATCGTTAGACCATTTTGATTGACAGGTGGAAATATATCCGTTGTAGCTTGGTCAATGCTTTATCGGAAAATGATCATACAGAATGATGGGGTGACTTTCGTGTCATTCTGACATATTTATCGTTTAACACATTAGGTAATGCAGGTGTCTAGGGGATCGAGTATACTACGATGTCTACTTAAAGTAGAATTGCCCCTGCAATGGTCACCCCACCAGGTGTCTGAAATTTGAATCTAAATTCTTCAAACGTAAGCAGATGCTTTTGCCGCACAACCTAGCTTTACATTCCATTCATAAAAAGTACTGACATCGTTTTGTGGTTAGCCAACCAATGCCAGAGAACGCATTCAGTCTCCATGTTGGTATTTTATTATGTGGTCATGAACAGAAGCATTCGAAAATAAAACAATGCAAGTAGAGTATGTTATGAAATTAATAAACATATTCCGATATACCGTACTTCCTTATTATATCATGCTGTTAAAATATGTGCTCCCGAGCGAATAGTTTCCTCTGAACTTCTGTTAACAGTTAGCCTGTACTGTGACCTATCTTTCAATCAAAACAAAACGTCCAAGAGAAATGTCCAAGAAATGAAGGACAATCTCTCAAGCCCTTGATATCGTTTCGTATTATCCGCTTGCTTTCTGTGAAGAACGCCCAGCACAGCCCAGTCATGCAGAATTTTGACTTTAACCTTGACCTGCGTTTATTGATAGGGTTTGTCTTTGTTGATGGACAAGAAATGAAGATAAAGCTGCCGGAGATGAAGAAGGGATCTTTGCTGACCTTTGACCTCGAAGATCTGTCCAATGGTAAAGTGCGAGTCAATGTGGAATTGGAGGAAAAGGTTGTCACTTTTGATTGGAAGGTTCCACAACCACCAGGAACGACAGGACAATTCGGAGGCTTCGGACTCGGAGGCATGCTAACGGGAAGTGTACACAAATTTTACTTCGGATTGAAATTTAGTCATGAAGATTGGAAAGTTTTGGTTGAATAGGGATAAGCTTTGTCAAATTTTTACGTATGGAAGATTTCACTTTTGTTGATACTGTATTATTTTAAGATTTATTATTCACTCAATTTTACCAGATAAAATTGAAATTTAATGCCTTTATTAGGATATTGTTAATGTAAGTACAGTCTTTTCCTCCGAAACTTTGTCATTAATCTGAAATGTTTAGAGATAATCTGCAGAAGTGAATTCATTGTAAAATTGTATACTGGTATCCGTATATTAAATTCTGTTCTGCAAAGCATTATGGGAATTTTTAATTAAACATATTGACATTCACAGATGATGTGGATATTGGTCATGTATATCAGTTATCACCGGACTGATTATTAAAACTTATAATAAAGGATTGGAAAGACTGTGACTTTTAATACAATCAGACAGTATTCTCCTAGTCAAAAGTTTTTATCACATGAATAAACCAAAGCAATGCTGTATTTTTTTTATTTTTTTTCCCGATCTTTTGTTTTTAGGGGATTCGCTAAAACAGTCAATTTTACAGGATCTATTATTTGTAGATTTCCGGTCAAGTGACCATAGTAGAAAGAGCTATGGTAAGGATGGATGAATTTGATAGTTATTCCGTAATATATATCTTTTTCACGGAAAAATTGTTAGCATGAAAATTCGGAACATTTGAAATTTTTTTGTTGACTCACACTAAAACTGATGTTAGAATGTCATTTTGGTTTAGATTCTCGATTGAATAAATAACATGTTTGTTGTAGTTGATGAACTTCCATAATTATATCAAAGACAGATGGTCTTAGACCTGGTAACTATAACATTCCTGCTGTGGCCATGCCTTCGCTTCCTAGGCTGCTGTAGATAACGTTTATTACAATGTGTCTGTATAAGGTAATACATTGAAGGCAATAAGCCCATGCCTGGCAATAAGCCCATGCCTGGCAATAAGCCCATGTCTGGTAATAAGCCCATGCCTGGCAATAAGCCCATGCCTGGTAATAAGCCATAAGCCATTAACATATATTGTCATTCAGTAGAACTACCTACAAATGCTATCTCGTTGTTCATTCCACTCCCCTGCTCAGAATCAGAAAATATTTGTTGTCTCCTGGTCTTATTGCAGCTTGAATATATGATTGTTTTACCTCTAATACGCCCAGGCCCCAGTTTCAAGAACATTTAGTTAATTCCAAAGCATAAAGTTTTCCCATTGGGTGGCATTAAATTCCGTAACTTAGGTTTTCCCTTTGGAAAGCATGGCTAGAATTAAAAAATATATATATAGTAAGGAAATTTTCCCTAATATCCAGTAATATTTTCTTTTGGAAAACTTTCAGTTGAGGAATATTCATCAATTTGGGCCTTGTTGTTAAAATAAACCTGGATTTTGTCCATCAATATGTTACACAGAAATGTTTTCTTTACTTGTACAGATGACACGTGTGTACAAAAGTTGACATGGGGGTATATTTGACACAAGGCACATGCTAGTCACTAGTAAAACACAGATACAAGTGTCTCCTTGTGTCTCGCCAGGTATTACTGCTCATGATCAATGTGCCATATAGATGAATGGTTCTAATAATGCAATATTGTATTTTTCCTGAAATAAGCCAAGCTGGCCAACATAACATATATTCTGTGACTCAAAAGTAGGCCATGCCCGGGCTTATTACAGGACAACGAAATTGTTGCCATTTCTATTGAATTCAATTTGATAATGGTGGGCTTATTACCAGGCATGGGCTTATTGCCAGATAAATACAGCAGATATATTTCTGATATCTTCATCATGGCTTTCATTATCATGTCCTAACATTAAGCTTACTGCTGATTGATATTTTGTTAAATATGATTATGCTGTTTGATCCAAGTCCCCTAGTGCGCTTGTATTGGTAGTTTAAAAAAAAAGAAAGGTTTTTATATTTCAATTTAATATGCAGATTTAATTAAATATTTATCAGGAATTTAAGAAATATTTTTACAAGCAGAGATGATACAGTGGTTCCTACCAAGTCGGATGATTTACATATGTTTATAAATATGCATCAGGACATATATATCTTTAGTATAATTCAGCGGCGTATTCATAGACGAAACATTTTTGCTGTGACATGGAAAAAATCCACGAAAAATTTAAGCTGCCGGTAAGCTGTATACCCAAACTGATGAGATGCAGCCTTTGGGGTTTTCTAGAACTAAAACAGAATTTTAATCACACAGACAGAAATTAAATACAATACAAAATGTTGAACCAACCTAGAAGACCCCTCTATTGATATTTTGTCTTTGCGTATTGCAGAGTTATCTTCTCTTGGGAGCAGGTATTGATTGTTACATCATTGGTTTGAGAGGGGAACGTCATCAATTTTTCTCGCACAAACCAATGTCGTAACAATCAATACTTGCTCCCAAGAGAAGATAACTCTACAATACGCAAAGACGGAATAGGCTTGTTTAGTATCTTGTAACATGATTTTGGTTTAAATTATATTATATAAAAACAGCATAACATTCTTTATCAGACTTGGGGCATTACATATAAATATATAGTACCACAGTAGAAGAATGATCCTTACCGATGAAGAAATCATTTGAAATAAAAATAATCTCTACTTATATATATTCCATTTTCAAAAGAATATTAACCCTTTCACCTCTGTAGACCAAAATGGACTCGTCCAGATCAATGCATGGTAGAGTCTACTAAAGTTACATAGGGGTGAAAGGGTTTAGTGGTAAAAGGATGTTAATCCCATAAATACTATGCTCAAATGGTTTCAAACAGTAAGATCAAATAAATAAAGAAATAAAAACATTCATTAGCATCGAACAGTTACCCAAAAGATACCAAACAAAAATCAGGGGATACTTTAACAGTCAAGATTTTCTTCGCTTATACATGTAGATAATTGCCGTCTGGAAATATCAAGTGAGCGAACCTACATTTACTGACATAAAGCAATGAGAAAGTCTAGAGGCTGCTGACCTTTTCTTGCCAAGTAGGATATAGTAACCAATACTTGTTAATGTATGTATGTATGTCTTATTCTAAAAACGACACTGATCAATTGGTAAAGAATTGTGGTGAATGAGGAAACCACAGTTGTTGTTTGTGTACGAAAAAAATGTGTGAAATTTCACATTTGCTAGTTATGCTACACACATGCCTTTGCAAGGATTGGTACTTTACGAGAATTGACACTTTACAAAAAAATTGGTCAGCAACCATTTTGCAACTGATTTTAATGGCAAATTATATTTTTGTTTTTGAACGCATTAGTTGTATATATTTATAAGACAATGTATGAATGGAATTGTAAAAATTATGTGGCCTAAGTGGATAGCTTATAGCAAATGTTTTTGTAACCAAGAATCCAGCCATTCTATTTTATTTGAGAGAAATCCTGTTGGCATATATGAAAAATATATATAGAAAAACTATGTTATCAAAGAGATTTTAGTATTGTTCCAATGGTTATTAATGCAGAGTCTAATTGTAATTTTTATACAGAACTAAATTGTGTTTTTACTACTCCTGCCGAATGAATTTATGAAATATAGGTTTATTGTTCGATACTGTAAAAATCTTGTTCCTAATTTTCATGGATTTGCTGTGATGGTAAATTTCTTGGGTTTAAATTTTTTTGTGGGCATATTTCTGATCAAGTGGCCATAGAAAGTAAAGCTATGGCAGAAATTATTGTATGTATCATAGAAATAGTGAAAGTTGGACCTCTCACAAAAAAACACAACCTTTTTCTGTTGGGGTTGCGGTAACAGAGTAGGTATGTTTATGTTCAAACATCTTTGAAATCCAAGGGTTTTACTTTCGATAGATTCCTCTCTGCAGCCTCGGAATATGTCATGACAAAATCGAAGGCTCATTGTTAGCCATTCCAGTCATAAAAAGCTCATCAACTGCTGGGTGGGGTACCTGACCTGCCTTTTAAATATGTTTAGAACATGTATTATCCAGGTAGTTGCAATAATGATAATTTTTCAGGTAATTATTCAATATAAATAGCATTTACCGGTACCAATATCTTTGTGTATATTTGTTGATTTCTGTCTGACAATGGCATTTTTTGATGTGCAATGTAGTAATTGTACCATATTTCTTTTAGTATAACATTTTATTTAAATGAGATGTGTACAAAGTTTGGTTTGTGTATAATTACTGTGTTTTAATAATTTTACTTGTGATAAGCCTAGGAACTTAGTCCTGACTTCATTTCATTTCAACAAATCTTTTTCAAGATGGTATATAGATAGGATTGAACAACAGGCTATGCCTATATCAGTTCTCTCCGGCAACTTAGTCCTTAGAAAGGGATTACTCAAGTATTGTTTTTTTCTCCCTTATATGACACTATATATGCAGACTGCATTTCTCCACAGTGATGACCCACACCTGTTAATCTGGTTCAAATCAGATCTAAAAAAATTCCACTGTGGAACTTTCCATATTAATGGCATTTAAAGTTCTGGTTTTAATCGGATCCTATTTCAAATCCACTGTGATACTCTCCAAATAAATACAGAGATTATTATTGTGGGTTTTATGAACTAGCTTTTACTCAAATTTGCTAAACCTGAAGAAACTGTTTAACTTGGTGTGGGCCTATCAATGAGCATTGGCGTATCCCTGGGCCTAAGTTTATTGCTGAGCATTGACTTATTGCTAAGCATTCGCTTATTTCTTAAAATGGGCATATTGCTGAATGCAGGGTTATTACTGGGCATGGGCTTATCATTGAGCGTTGGCTTATCACAAGTAAAAACATTATTCTGAAGCTTTTATCCGGTACTGCATGCTTATGTATTTTACTCTTCACTTTGCAATTGTCTTCCACAACTTATTGTGATATTATTGAACTTTTAGATGGTGTATGTTAAGATTGAATGAGAAGAGATAAAATTTCTACTAATATGGTGGGAATATATAGCGCCTTCAGTCAGGATAAAGCTTACCCAAGTCTACAACGAACAAAGTGTATAGACTATATCTTGACTGTAGGCACTATCTTCCAAACATATTTGATAAAACTTTGATCTGCTATGGTTAGACGAGTGAATTGATATTTTTAAATGGCTTAATTTTATGTTTCTCTTGGTGTCTTTTTTACATGTGACTAGATAGGGATATCAGCAGGTCCTACATTGTATATTTTGTAGTATAGGCAAGTACCATAACGCAAAGACAAAAAGATCATGATATCCCAGCAATATTTACTTGCAGAACGTATAGTAAATTGTGTATTAAGGTACAATGATAGGATTATTCTAAAAAGATATGCAGGAAACTGTTTTCCATGTTAATTATTTGGAATTTAAATTTTAATAATTATTTCAATTTTATACTGTAAAACCTCACTAATCTGGATATTTTGATTTCTTAAGATTGAAGGGAAACTTTATAAAAACTTGAACGTTCCGAACGAAAGTGCACTGACATAGATCTAGACACACCAACCAATGGTTGAAGTGTCAGAACCTATACATTTAAATATTGGTGAACAAGGAACTGTTAGTGTCCGAGTGTACGGCAAGTGATTTTTAGAGATGATGTAAGTTGATATTTAACTCATTCACCCCTGAAATTTCATAATGAACTATTCCAACCTTTGAATTGGAAGAGCTCAAATGTGTCTTCAGGGGTGAATGAGTTAATGGGATTTCTGTGTTTGTATTATTTTTTTCACATGGTGCTTCTCTGATTTTAATATCAAATCTTTACTATGTTTGATGTGTGTGAAGCTTGTCACTGTTGCAGTACAGCTTTAGTTTTACCGAGATCTTGTTTGAACGATATTATTTGTTACTTTTGCTTCAATAGTCATATGTTTTGCAATTTGTTTGTTTGTATATTTTGTTTACACTGTAAAATATATGCGTGTATACTATACTGACGTGACCAGGTGCTGTAGAAATATGATCACCATATAATACAAATTACCTTTATACCCTGTACATGAACATCTCGTTTGAACAATGTGGACCAAGATCATTACATTTCCTAGTATGTGTAGTTGCAAGGAATTGAATTTGCAGATTATTACCTGTCAAGAGCATAGCTTTGGAGACAAAATTGTGGAACTGTTTTAAATGTAGTTTAATTTGAAGGAATCTCTTTTGCTTGACAAAGTTGTACATTGTGGCTTTAAGCGTGAAAACAGCATTCCCCTAGTGTGTGGTATAATATACAGTTGTTTCATGCCTTATCAGTTAACAGTCAAAACAGTTCATCTGGTGGGTCCCAACTCCGAGGGAAAATGGTTTTGACTGTTGACTGATAAGGCATGAAACAATTGTTTTGTTACTTGACCAATGAAAAACAAAAAGTTCCATGTCGAATGTGATGTTTAGAGTCGACTGTGATGTTTAGATCTACCGACAGACGACCGTCAACAATCCAGTACCAAAAATGCTTGATCATCGGGGTGCTTGTAATTATAGGTGCATTCGATTACCTAACACGTGACCAGTCAACAGTTTTACGGTGACCGGTCAACAGTTTTACGGTGAACGGTCAACAGTTTTACGGTAGCACACATTAGCTAAAGTTCGTTTGGTGAATTGTCTGGGAAACAGTCGAAATTGATTAATATGCATTTATATAGCGAGTCAGCTAGGTAACAACAATAAATAATTTACAATGACGAACTGTTCCATCACTTCCTATGTATGTCTCGTGGTCTGTACTTCTAATTGCATCTCAATATGCATTTTGTGGTTAGGTGGTGCAGTGGATAGTGCACTTGCCTTTCACCAAGGCGACCGGGGTTCGATTCCCCAATCAGACGTGAAAAGGTATGGGGTCACCAGCCCGACCACGTTGGTTTTCCCCGGGTACTCCGGTTTCCTCCCACATTAAGACCCTATGCGCGCTAACATCTGGGCTAACAAGAGTGATTAATATAAGTTGACATAACTTGTTTCATAATTGTTGTAAAATGAATAAAGTTAATATTTTATATGCCTTTTGTGGTCCATCTTGTGGAACAGCCTATAAGAATGTGTCAAAAAACCCACTAGAGCCAGATGTTTGTAATTAAAAAACAAAAACAACATTAAACAATATCTTCTCTTGGATAAATTCAGAATTCTTCATCAGGCGTACTTCATTGTATTCTAGTATTTATGGTGCTCTCCCATGATATATAATTTATCATCATAAGAATGAGCTAACGATGCTTTCTTTAAAACACAATACTAAATAAAAAAATGTTGTATGGTGTACATACCAGTTACCCCTTCATTGTGTAAGTTGTTTCAGCATATTAATTGCGGGTAATTTTTCTAGAGCAGGCTATCTT